AGTGCTACAGCAGCAGCTGACAGTGCTACAGCAGCAGCTGACAGTGCTACAGCAGCAGCTGACAGTGCTACAGCAGCAGCTGACAGTGCTACAGCAGCAGCTGACAGTGCTACAGCAGCAGCTGACAGTGCTACAGCAGCAGCAGACGGTGCTACAGCAGCAGCAGACAGTGCTACAGCAGCAGCAGACGGTGCTACAGCAGCAGCAGACAGTACTACAGCAGCAGCAGCAGCTGATGGTGGTACAGCAGCAGCAGCAGCAGCTGATGGTGGTACAGCAGCAGCAGCAGCAGCAGCAGCTGACAGTGCTACAGCAGCAGCAGCAGCAGCAGCAGCAGCAGCTGACAGTGCTATAGCAGCAGCAGCTGACAGTGCTACAGCAGCAGCAGCATCAGCAGTTGACCATGGTACCACAGTATTTCGATAATATTTCTCACCCTTTTTACCACAGGGTTGGCACTAGAAGCTTTCTTGGGGCCCATGGTCACTTATTTTGCAGATAAAATCACCGAAAACGCTGTAATAATACGAAATGTTCCGATTGTATGCTTAGATGTTACCGCGGAGGCTGGCTTGTAAACAATGCCACCGGCGGAACATGTGAGGCTGGCTCAGGCCTCACATAGACGCGTCTCGGACGAATAGCGTTGAGCGGGTTTTTAGCGGTATGCGAGGAAAAATCTTAGCAATAAAATGTATCGGTATGTGGGGGTCCAATGTACAGTGGTCCCTCAATAATCGTCTGGCCTGAAAGTCGTCCATTTCGGAAATAGTCCTGTTAGTTCGTCTAAATATTGGCTCACAAATGGTCCGGTAACTCGCTAATAGTCCTTCGTCCGGGATGCGTACTCATGCTCTGAGCCGCCTGGGCCTTCCCTTCCCAGCCAGTGTGCCATTGTTTACCAGTGAGCGACGGTCCCCTCACGTGCTCCAGCGAAATATTTCATAATATTCCATTGATTTTAGTGCTTGCAAGTGCTAAATAAGCTACCATGGCTCCAAAGAAAGCTTCTAGTGCCAAGAAGGTGAGAAATACGATTGAATTTAAGAAAAACATCATTGAATAATATGATAGTGGCATACGTGTGGGCGAACTGGCCAGGATGTATAGCAAATCCCGTACAACCATATCTTCCATCATAGCCAAGAAAAAGGAAATCAAGGATGCTGTTGTTGCAAAGGGGGTAAATATGCTGACAAAAATGAGATCACCAGTACTCGAAGGTGTTGAGAAGTTATTATTGGTGTGGATAAACGAGAAACAATTAGCAGGACACAGTCTTATGACGTCGCTTATTTGTGAAAAGGCTAGGCAGTTGCATGACGATTTGGTAAAGAAATTGCCTGCAACTAGTGGTGATGTGAGTGAATTTAAGGCCAGCAAAGGCTGGTTTGAGAGATTTAAGAACCGTACTGGCATACACAGTGTGGTAAGGCATGGTGAGGCTGCCAGTTCTGACAACAAAGTGGCTGAAAAATATGTGCATGAATTCAAGGAGTACATAAACAGTGAAGGACTGAAACCTGAACAAGTGTTCAGTTGTGATGAAACAGGCCTCTTTTGGAAGAAAATGCCAAAGAGGACCTACATTACTCAGGAAGAAAAGGCGCTGCCAGGACACAAGCCTATGAAAGACAGGCTGATGCTAATGTTCTGTGCTAATGCTAGTGGGGATTTCAAAGTGAAGCCATTACTAGTGTACCATTCTGAAAATCCCAGAGTGTTCAGGAAAAAACAATGTTATGAAGAGTAAATTGTGTGTGTTTTGGAGATCTAATAGTAAGGCATGGGTCACGAGGGAAATTTTTGTCGAGTGGTTCAATGAAGTGTTTGGCCCTAGTGTGAAGAATTACCTCCTGGAAAAGAAATTGGATCTCAAGTGCCTCCTAGTAATGGACAATGCACCTGCTCATCCTCCAAACTTGGATGACCTAATTCTGAAGGAGTTTGGGTTCATCACAGTAAAGTTCTTGTCCCCGAATACCACTCCTCTCCTCCAGCCCATGGACCAGCAAGTCACTTCAAACTGCGTAAGCCTTATAGGTACGGCTTGGGAGGGAGTGACTACCAGGACTTTGAACTCTGCTTGGAGAAAATTGTGGCCAGATTGTGTCCACAAGAGGGATTTTGAAGGGTTTGAGGCAGCCCATGGTGAGCCTATGTCAGTTGTGAACTCTATTGTCGCACTGGGGAGTTCCATGGGGTTGGATGTGAGTTTGGAGGATGTGGAAGAGTTGGTGGAGGACCACAACGAAGAGCTAACCACTGAGGAGCTGCAAGAGCTTCAGCAGGAAGAGCAACAGATGGCAGCTCAGAATCTTGCTGCAGAGGAGGAGGAAGGGAGATGGAAGAAGGTGTCTTCTTCAGAAATTAAGGAGATTTTTGAAGTGTGGGGTAGGATGGAAAGCTTTATGGAGAAACATCACCCAGAGAAGGATGTTGCAAGCCATATCGGCAGTGACAGTCTTGGCCCATTTTAGGGAAGTTTTAAAAAGACGCCAGAAACAGAGCTCTCTGGACAGTTATTTTGTGAGACAGGACTCCAGTGACTCTCAAGGTGGTCCTAGTGGCGTTAAGAAACAGAGAAGAGAAGCAACCCCAGAAAAGCACTTGGTACCTGAGGTGTTGATGGAAGGGGATTCCCCTTCCAAACAGTAACTAATCCACTCTCTCTCCTCCTCCAGTCTCCCATACACTAAGAAGAATCACCAATAAAGGTAAGCGTTATTCTGTTAATGTTTCATTCATCATGTGCCATTGTATTGTTTATGTACTACATGTATATTTCATGTAAAAAAATTTTTTTGTTTTAATACTTCTGGGTGTCAGGAATGGATTAATTACATTTACATTATTCTTATGGGGAAAATTGATTCGTAAATCGTCCATTTCGATAATAGGCCCACTTCCAGGAATGGATTAATAACGATAATTGAGGGACCACTGTATGTAAAAAAACATTAATCTTTGTTTTTTTTACATTTGAAAGCTTATAAAAAAAACTTTGATATACTTTTTTTTATATATCTTCTTTCTTCTTTCAACAAACCGGCCGTATCCCACCGAGGCGGGGTGGCCCACCGAGGCGGGGTGGCCCACCAAGGCAGGGTGGCCCACCGAGGCGGGGTGGCCCAAAAAGAAAAACAAAAGTTTCTGTTTTTAAATTTAGTAATATATACAGGAGAAAGGGTTACTTTGATATACTTTTTTTTTATATATATTTGAAAATATGCAAAAAAAACTTAGATCTAATTTTGGAGCACTACACATGTGAACATAGATCTATGTTTGAACAGTTTAAGGGTTAAAACCCATGGCAAACTCATAATTTTGGTGTCAGATTTTGAGAGCGTTTTCCCCTATGCAAAAAGTCAACCAAATCCTAATTTTATCAAGGTTTTGTTAGTGATGAGTGTTTTATCATCCATACGATAAGTGCCCGTTACTGCCCTCCCTCGCATAACCCTGTAACCTAACCTCCAAATAGTTGGCAAGCCCATATTTTAAAGAATTGATACGTTTCCCTTCTCTTACGTAATATTGCTTAATCCGTTCTTTAGCCACACCATCCCACCATTCCCACGGGAATTATCTAGTTATTTTATGGTAAGAATAATCGGAATATTAGAGAGATTCATAAACAATACAGTCATATTTATCGATACTGAGAATAGTGGTTGGCAGTACTTAGGAAGATATACTGAGATATACTAAGATTCTGCCAGGTATTTCCTGGGTGTCCTTGCTCCCAGCTCGTGGTTCACATAGTGTCGTTGCACCCAGCTCGTGGTTCTCATAGTGTCCTTGCACCCAGATCGTGGTTCAATTATGATATTTAATGATTATTGGCTGTATTTATTTTAAAGGACTCACTGGCCATGGGTTCATACCCCACCCGTTCCCTGATTTATTGCAATCGTGTCGTTACATGGGAAGTACAATGCCTGCACTTCTAATGAGGGGTTTGAGATATTGGCTGTTTGGAGTGACATCTAAACTGTCATATCTGAGCACCTCTGCAAAGAGTGACTGTGAATGATGGTGAAAGTGTTGAATGATGGTGAAAGTATTTGTTTCTTTTTTGGGTCACCCTGTCTTGGTGAAAGACAGCTGACGTGTTAAATAAAAAAATGTATACGAGGCATTGTGTGACAAGGAATAAGCACCACCACGACCAAAATTCGGGTCGGTGAACAAATCGATTCCTTAATATTTCATGTGTGTGAATGTGTAGATATTTTCTTATGCATCTGTAAGTTAACCTCAGAGCCCCATAACAAAATATAGTAACTTGAATGTCATAGCTATGATCTCTCCTGCACCTGAGTTTTTTCCCATTGTTTGAATTTGTTGCTTATTCTCTTCCACCACATAGCAGCTCATTCACATTAATTTTTTTTATCTTTTAAATTGTTAATTTTACTATTTTTAAACATATGTGTAATGTTAATCTTTTAAAAGTATCAGCTGGTATTGAAATTTTTTTTCATCAGTATCAATACCATTACTTTAACATTAAAATTAGCATATACCATTGATACCAATGTTTTGGCATTCCCCTTGACACAGTTATCCATAGTACAGTAAGACCCCTGTATCCATGGAGGATACGTTCCAAGGACCTGCCCTGGATACCAAAACCGTGGATAGTAGTGAACCCTGTATATAAGTCCTATACATACCTGTTATAAAGTTTAATTGATAAATTATCACCTTTTCACTGATGGGAAGTACTTATCTGCTTCTCTTGGCCTTGAAAACCTTCCACCATCACTACTTTTGCACTTTGAGGCAGATATGGTGGTCCTGTTATACTACAATTTTTATAGGATAATAGATTCAGGGTTGCAAATAAATCACTTGTTAGAAGACTAACTAAGCAACATTTGGGGGACTGTACAACAGTTGTTTATTACAAAAAAAAAAAAAAATTGCTGAATCATTTATTACCACAATTATATTGTTTTCTATTGTGCACTTACATTAACTAATCTTTCTAGGGTGTGTCATATCCTTTGCGAAAGTTTCTGGGTCCCAACTGCTGGAGAGAAGGAGGACCCATGGTTGTGAATAAGGATAATGATGATTGTTTCCACCGTACGTGCCTTGGAGACTGTGATAATAACAAGCTGTACCAATGTGTTATCTACCTAGCACCTGGTGATTACCACCGCTTTCATTCCTGCACCGATTGGAAAGTGATATTTCGGCGACACTTCCCGGGAGAACTGTTAAGTGTGAATCCATCCATAGCAGCGTGGGTCAGAAATCTATTTGTGTTGAATGAAAGAGTCAGTTATGTGGGCTATTGGAAGCATGGATTCTTCTCTATGACAGCAGTTGGTGCTACCAATGTTGGCTCTATCAAAGTGTACTTTGATGAGGGACTCAGAACAAATGAGAAACAGTGGAAAACCAGTATGTTCCATGACAAGCACTTTAAAGATAAACCCATTGAGCTTTGCAGAGGAGGAGAGTTTGGGGAATTCAACTTGGGTTCTACCATTGTTCTTGTCTTTGAAGCTCCAAAAGATACTATGACTCTGATTGAAATTGGACAGAAAGTAAGAATGGGCCAGGCATTATTCAGGATACCCCATTCACATGTAAGGAAAACTATATCAGAAATTTCTCATCCAGGTCCACAAAGGTAGACTTGTTTCATGTACGGTATAATTTTGTGTCTAAAATAATATTTAAGAAGAAAAATCATTTCTGGAGAATTTTTCGGTTAACTGGAATAATTTTGGGAAAGTTCCAGTTAATTATGGAATCAAAATATTTTAATTGATAAATTTTACTAAGAAGTACAGGACCTTATTGTAGTCATCAAAATGAAAGTAGCCAGACATAGATAAAAGTGTGATGTAACTTTAAGTGCTACGTGAAGTCAATTAGATGTCATCGCAGAATTATGTTAGCTATAAATGCTGCCATATTTTTTATTATTTTTTATTTGATTTCCATTTTTCTTTTATATACAGTATTTAACTGTTGTATTCTGAGCACCTCTGCAAAAACAGTGATAATGTGTGAGTGTGGTGAAAGTGTTGAATGATGATGAAAGTATTTTCTTTTTGGGGATTTTCTTTCTTTTTTGGGTCACCCTGCCTCGGTGGGAGACGGCCGACTTGTTGAAAAAAAAAAAAAAATTTAAGGATGGATATGGTACAACCGAGTTGTGCAGAGATGTAGTACAAGGGATAACAGAACGACGGAGCATGCTGTAAATAATGGCTTTGCTGTAGCTACATTTAATCTAAAGATTCATTTTAGAAATGTGAAATAGCTATTATGGAACAAGTGAACCAACATTGATGAAATATAATGGAGGTAAGAGAAGCACTGTAATATTTCACCTTTTCTAAACAAATAACCCACACATTGAATGACACTTTGGACGATGTTTCGGTCTGACTTGGATTATTAACTAGTCACCCTTTCTAGTCTGGTGAAGAGAGCCTGAATGTGAGAGCAAATATACAGTGCTTCTCTTTCTTTTTTTTCTTCTTCTGTGATTTTGTTTGTACCAGTGATGAGTATTTTACAGTATTACACTCTTATGTGTTGATGGGCATTATATTTAGTTGAGACAAGAGCTTCAGCTCTAAGACTGACCTCAAAGACTAACAGCAGCAATGATTAGCTTGTAAATGCAGATCACTAACTTAAAGTACTCTGATATCTTCATTATATATGCCACACCCATCCTGTGGGTGGTAGTCTAGATTACACAGGTACATATATGTAATGGGTTCAAGAATTGGGTCCCAATATTTACATTTGCTAACAAGCTACACTAGTGTTGAACTATTCAAGTTTGCACAGTCACAAAACATTGTAGTTATATTTGGTTATTAGTTAATTATGAGTTATTTACAAAGGGCGGTCAGGATATTTTACCAAAATGGATTATAATGTGCTACTGTGGATAAAATACTTTGAATTTCTTGAACATTTGTGAGTGAATTGTCTCAGAATTCAGTTTTTCACATTCCAGCACAGATTACACACACACATCCAAACCTACAAATGGGATAATCACAAACCAATTAATTATTTACATCTGTTTAGCCACAATATGAACATGTTTGAACATTACCATCCTCTGTACTTTATTAAACTACAGAACAGGTGGAGTTTGAACCCATATTAAGTGAGTCATGGGTTCAAACTCTACCCATTCCACGATTTGTTTGCAATCTTCTTGTGATTTCGTGAGTCATCTGGTTTATTAATTAGGAACTCTTTACATGGAATGAGACAGCTTGATTGAGACCATTTGTATTAATGTTGGTAGATTTACTGACAATATGTTAGGTTAAAGGACACAAGTGCAGCTAATGTGACGTCTTACTGCGGCAACGTTTCGTGTTAATGTTTTGAGAAATGGTATGATGATGCCAACAAGATGTGGAAAAAGACATGTACAGTCCATGACACTTATTAGATGAAATATCACACCATGAGTGGCTTCTTCAGTCCTCCAGAAGCCATTTGTGGTACAGTGTTAACTAAAATAAATGTCCTACACTGTCTTTTTCCACTACGATCTTTTGGTGTGTGTTCACAAATAAATGTAACACGCTTGAAAACAATCATTTTAGAGACGAGTAGATTCAGGTTGTAACGATAACTTTATTTCCCAAGAATATACACTAGTTACGAGAGAAGGGTAACAGTATACTGTATAGTGTATCTTGCAAAAAAAAAAAAAAATCCCTAGTTATGCATAGCATTTGAAGCAGTCTAAAAGTAGCACTAATACACACAGAATACACTAAAATTCAATAATTTTACAATGCAAGTTTTTGTGAAAATTAGGCATTTAACCCTTTGACTGTTTATGCCATATACATACTGAGAGCGTATAAATCTGAAGGTGAAGGAAGGCGGGGTAGAGGTCACCATCACTACACACTACACTACACTCACCATCACTACACACTACACTACACTCACCATCACTACATACTACACTACACTCACCATCACAACACACTACACTACTCACCATCACTACATACTACACTACACTCACCATCACAACACACTACACTACTCACCATCACTACACTACACTGACCATCACTACACCCCTACACTGACCATCACTAACTCACTACACTCACCATCACTACTCACTACACTCACCATCACTACACACTACACTCACCATCACAACACACTACACTACTCACCATCACTACACTACACTGACCATCACTACACACTACACTGACCATCACTACTCACTACACTCACCATCACTACCTCACTACACTCACCATCACTACACACTACACTGACCATCACTACTCACTACACTCACCATCACTACTCACTACACTCACCATCACTACACACTACACTGACCATCACTACTCACTACACTCACCATCACTACACACTACACTCACCATCACTACACACTACACTCACCATCACTACACACTATACTCACCATCACTACACACTACACTACACTGACCATCACTACACACTACACTGACCATCACTACACACTACACTCACCATCACTACACACTACACTCACCATCACTACACACTACACTGACCATCACTACACACTACACTCACCATCACTACTCACTACACTCACCATCACTACCCCCCAACTATACTCACCCATCACTACACACTACAACTACACTGACCATCACTACTCGCTACACTGACCATCACTACACTCTACACTGACCATCACTAACTCTACACTGACCATCACTACACACTATACTACACTGACCATCACACTACACTACACTGACCATCACTACACACTACACTACACTCACCATCACCACACTACACTACACTGGCCATCACACTACACTGACCATCACTACACATTACACTACACTCACCATCACCACACTACACTACACTGGCCATCACACTACACTAACACTGCCATCATACTACACTACACTGACCATCACACTACACTACACTGACACATCACACTACACTGACCATCACACTACACTACACTACACTGACATCACACTATACTACACTACACTGACACACACTATACTACACTATCACACACTACACTGACCATCACCACCCTACACTACACTGACCATCACCACACTACACTACACTACACTGACCATCACTACACACTATACTGCTCACCATCACTACACAATATACATTCACTATCCCTAGAAACTATATTACACTGTCACTAGGCACTATACTACACTATCACTAGGCACTACTACATCATACAACAACAGACACTATAATACAACTCACTTCATCAAGAAACACTGTTACACTCTTAAATTTTGGTTCTCTTCCATAGTGCTAAAGGAATAGCAGGAAAAGTCGGTCGATGGATCTATAATTTCCTCACTAACAGAACACACAGAGTAGTAGTCAACAGAGGAAAATCCGAGGCAGCCACGGTGAAAAGCTCTGTTCCACAAGGCACAGTACTCGCTCCCATCTTGTTCCTCATCCTCATATCTGACATAGACAAGGATGTCAACCACAGCACCGTGTCTTCCTTTGCAGATGACACCCGAATCTGCATGACAGTGTCTTCCATTGCAGACACTGCAAGGCTCCAGGTGGACATCAACCAAATCTTTCAGTGGGCTGCAGAAAACAATATGAAGTTCAACGATGAGAAATTTCAATTACTCAGATATGGTAAACACGAGGAAATTAAATCTTCATCAGAGTACAAAACAAATTCTGGACACAAAATAGAGCGTAACACCAACGTCAAAGACCTGGGAGTGATCATGTTGGAGGATCTCACCTTCAAGGACCATAACATTGTATCAATCGCATCTGCTAGAAAAATGACAGGATGGATAATGAGAACCTTCAAAACTAGGGATGCCAAGCCCATGACACTCTTCAGGTCACTTGTTTTATCTAGGCTGGAATATTGCTGCACACTAACAGCACCTTTCAAGGCAGGTGAAATTGCTGACCTAGAAAATGTACAGAGAACCTTCACGGCGCTCATAACGGAGATAAAACACCTCAATTACTGGGAGCGCTTGAGGTTCCTAAACCTGTATTCCCTGGAACGCAGGCGGGAGAGATACATGATTATATACACCTGGAAAATCCTAGAGGGACTAGTACCGAACTTGCATACGAAAATCACTCATTACGAAAGCAAAAGACTTGGCAGACGATGCAGCATCCCCCCAATGAAAAGCAGGGGTGTCACTAGCACATTAAGAGACCATACAATAAGTGTCAGGGGCCCAAGACTGTTCAACTGCCTCCCAGCATACATAAGGGGGATTACCAACAGACCCCTGGCAGTCTTCAAGCTGGCACTGGACAAGCACCTAAAGTCGGTTCCTGATCAGCCGGGCTGTGGCTCGTACGTTCGTTTGCGTGCAGCCAGCAGTAACAGCCTGGTTGATCAGGCTCTGATCCACCAGGAGGCCTGGTCACAGACCTGGCCGCGGGGGCAATGACCCCTGGAACTCTCTCCAGGTAAACTCCAGGTATAAATAAATTCTACATACACTCTTATAAACTGAAAATTCCAGGATAACTATTTTTTTGGTATATTGATATATTTAGTATAAAGATGCATAATCTTTTATACATATTAATATATGGTTGAAATTAGTAACCTTTGAAGAGTTTCACAATTCTACCTCACGACTTGTAAACTTAAGACTCGTCAAAATGTCTTGCAAGATGCCACTGAAAACTTGCTGCTTGTGGATGCTGGCAGTGGGAATCATTCTGGAGATATTAGGGTGTTACAATCAGCTTTTTGATCCATGGGTTCGTGATTTAGAAAAAGAGAGAGATGACCTCAGAAGAGAGGTTGACCAAGCTACTGATGCTTGCCAGCCAATGTTCTTTTGGGTCTCTACCTCAACTGTAGTTGATGTGTGGCGATATATGAGTGATGCTCCAGTACAAGAGACAAGTACCGACGTCGACCATCACTTTGATCCAAGGTGGCTGCCCATCATTGGTCGCATCATCACCGCTTATGAATGTTATCTGGAAATCCAAAATCTTAAAACGTATCTTGAGGTACATCACGCTGTCATGAGGGTTCCTCTACTCCTTCACAATGGTTTGTTGTGTGTCATGTTAATTACAATGAGTGCCATTGTGATGATCACAGAATTAAACTCCGGAAGAGAGGACAGTGATACAGTGAAATGGCTTTGGTAGGAAAGCCCAAAACAAGAAAAGTAAACGACGTCACAGAAAAAATGTATCGAAGAAGACTTAGAGTGAATGACCAACAGATCAAATGAGCCAGAGGTCCCTGTGAGCCAGAGGTTCCCTGTTGATGCCAGAGGTCCCTGTTGAAAGTCAGGAGCCAGTTACAAAGGTCCCTGTTAGACCAGAGGTCCCTGTTGAGCCAGTGGTCCCTGTTGAGCCAGTAGTCCCCGGTGACCCAAGAGCCCTCCTAACCCACCAGAAGGTTGGTAACCTTTCATCCCCCATGCTGTTAAGCAGTACACTCTCTTACAGTAGTGTCCAAAAGGACATATCACACCCTAATGCAAAATAAAGGCTTATTTGTTGTCGAACTGGTTCAAAAGTATCATGTTGGAACAAGCTTCAACATGTGAAGACATGTAAAAATAATGAGCCCTGACCGCAACCAGGCACTCGAATGTAATAGAGCTATTATAAGCAAGCTCGGTACAGGAAAAATATACGTGTATTTAGGTCATGGGCAGACGTGGCACAGGACTGCTTGAAGTTGAAATTCAGTGCTTGACTCGACAATGACTGAACAGTTGTTAGTGGACGGAGGAGAGAACACAAGTCAATCATTGTAATGGAAGAGTAATATGTGAGATAAATCTAGTGTGCTGTGTTGATAACTTCAAACCTGTATTGTGGTGCAGACAAGTCTCTTTTTGACTCATTATTTCATTTATCAGTGAAACTGACGAACTTAGATACTGTTGTGAAGGTGATATATAATTTTTTGTGATTTATTTTTAGTATTTGTTTTATTTTTATATATGTAAATTGTTCAGAGAACGACTAGTTTACAAAATTAGGCACGTTCGACACTTGTAGATGTTTGTGGAAATGTTTCACCAACACAGTGGCTTCATCAGTGCAATATGAAGAATGTGAAAGGAGAGGGGACTTGGGTAATCATTCCCCAGCCTGGATTCAATGCAATCAGTCCATCATTTCAACAAGATAGATGGACTGATTACATAGACTCCAGGCTGAAGGACTGATTACCTCAATCTCTTCCTTTCATCTTCCAGTGTTCTCTGTATTGTACTGATAAGTCACTGGCTGGCAAAACATTTCCAGAATAAAGATTCTAAATGTTAGCTGAGTGTCTCGTATATAAACTTGTCGCTTTCTAACCATTATTCAAACTTTACTGAAGAATATTATTATATTAATAGTGACTTTATAAGTTTAGCTAATGTGACTTTATCAAATTAATTTTTAGTTTCTGACAATTCACTATGGATAACTGAACAATCAATTAAATCCAGAATTCAGATGCAAAGTTAAATCATTATATTTCTCAACTCCGCTACATCTTATGGAGCTATTTGTCGTAAATTTTTTTCAGTTTCTTACAACATCACTAGACACTAACTACACTACACTAGGTTTATATATATCAAGAAAGACTACTAATCTACCATCATACACACTTTGTTAACTCATCAGACTTGACACTTACAACACCATCAAGACGTAACTTAAATCTAATCTCACAAGATGCCTATAACTTGCTACTTAATAGCACCATCACTAGAACATCTGAATAAGTACTAACACATTCTGAATCCATCTCATCACTAAACACACTAGTACTCACCAATACTGCAATCAAAGAGTAAACCCCACACTACACACCATTCCATCACTACACACTCACTCACTACTATATTGCACCAATCATACCCAGTACTACTCACCATTACTATAACACTATTCTATGATCCAGTCACTACATCTACCACATCACTTTGCCACAATGTCTAAATCACATCACTAATACCATCATCTAACACTAACTGCTCACTACACTACACAGTATACATTCACTAATGCCTGACACTATACTACTA